TTGAATCTGTTTCATGGGTTATATTTCTTTCCCATGTTGTTCAATCAAGGTTTCCATAATTTTCTTATGCTCTTTTATTTTTTAAATCTATGTCTTTTCAATCTATGGTTAGTAGTTCCTTCATTGTTCCTGTCATTTCTTTTTTATAATCTGAGAGATTGCTTCTGCTCTAATTTCCTGTATAGCCTCATGGATTTGTTTCTTTACTTTGCTTGCATAGATTGATCTGGAGGCCTGGAAAATTTGCTTACTTTACTATCTTTTTAGAGATTTCAGGTATGTATCTTCTTTTTTGCCTATATCTCCTGTACTCACTCCAAATGGTCTGGAGGACTGAGTTTGGATTTTGCTTTTTTTGCTTGTTATTTTAACTTCTTGGTTCATATTTTGGTGTTTTCAATCTCATTAGTCTAACTGTCCATCATGTGCATCTAGTCAGGATTCTACTGAGTGATTGGCATTCATCTAATTGCCAGGTTAAGGGGTGGTTCCAGTCACCTGAATTACTCCTGTGGGGCCAGTTGGTGAGTTCTGGGTTCTTACTGGGCTGATTAGCCTAAGAGCATTGATATGAACCAAACTTTGGATTGTATTATTAGTGCTCCTTCAGAATTTTCCAGACCTCTAGATCTATCTATTCATGATGTGTGCCCCAATCTGGGTCCTACTGTATCACTCAGAGTCTTGCAGGCCTTCTGGGGGCTCTCTGAATGGTAGGAGGGATTACTTGTGCTCTTACAGGCCTTCCCTGGGTACTCCAAATGGTAGGAAGGGTCATGACTGCTCTCGCATGCTCACCTGGGCTTCTCTGGATGGAGGGAGGGGTCAGGGCTGCTTTTGCAGGCTTGCAAAGGTCCTCTGGACTGAGGCAGGGGTCTCTGATGTTCTTGAAGGTCCACCAGGGGATGACTCAATTTTAATATGTAAAATTTTCTTATTTGCTAGCAATGCCACTCTCACTCTGAATGCTGATCAGTTATTGAAACCTTTGTAGTCATACATTCATATCTGTCTGTTTGGACTTGAACTTCACCTTATAGGCTGGTCTCTGTGGATCTTCCATCCTGCCAAGCAGCCCTGCTGAGGAGAGTGTGACACCAATCCACTGCTCAGTGCTTCATCATCTAAGATTACCAGCTGTAGGGCATAAATCAGTGTTGACTCAGGAAGCAAATGAGTGGGTCATGAGAGGAATGGAGGCAGTCAAAGCAGCACATGGTAGGGACATGGCCTCAGGGGCCACCACCTCAGGGGCCTCTGCTATGAATAATTTCAATGGAATTTTTATTCTCCTGGATATCTGCTTGAATCTGCCTTATGGATTTCTTTTCTTTCCTAGGCTGAACATTCATGACTTCCATAATTTTCTTCAAGTCATCTATTATTTTGTCTGTATCTGCTTTAGAGTCACTAATGTGATTTCCCTTTTTAAGAGAATAAAACCAAACAAAACCAGAACAGAATAAAGCTAAGCAAAACAGAACAGAATAAAGCTAAGCAGAACAGAGCAATGAAATCATTATAGGACTTCAAAACAAGGTAATAGGGAATCAACACTGGATACCATAATGTCTCTTGTTTTCTTTGAAATATCTGTCCATACCATCAGGCATAATAAAATTAAACAAAACAAAATAGGATAAAACCAATTAAAACAAAAGAATGAAGCATATTTTAAAGAGAATGAAACCAAACAAAATAAATAGAATAAAGCCAATCAAAACAAAACTGTGAAAGAGATGCAGAATTTCAAAACAGAACAATAGAAAATCCACAATAGCTGCCATATTGCCATTTGTTATCACCAAAATTGTGCCCGTACCACCAGACATAATAAAATCAAACAAAACAGAACACAATAAAACTAATCATAACAGAACAATAATATAAAGCAAAAACATTACTCTCCCGAGTCACAACATGTCTTCTGATGACTCACAGAGAGGGCAAATTAGCTTATTTGTCCTCCCAGGCCCTGCACGGCTTGTGCTGCCTCACGGGAAGGATGAATTGGCTTCTTGTTAATCTCCAAGGCCTAGCATGTCTTCTGCCAACTCATAGGAAGGGAAAATTCATTTGTTTCTTATTCTGGGCCCTGTATAGCTCATGCTGGCTCGCAGGAAGTGTGAATTGGCTGCTTTTAACCATGATTTTCATTGTGGACAAAATCTTTGCAGTTATCTGAGAAATTATTTCTGATTGATATTTTTTTAGAGCCTCATTTAATTGCTTCACTGTTCCATTTCTGTGAGGACAGATATTCCTGAAGATGACTGTCAGATTTTCCCACCTCATTTTCCTTTGGGTTAGCCTTTTGTGAACTGGATATTTGGAATTGCATCTTGTTTAAGTGTTTTCTAATTTTTTGTTAGTTTAATTCCTAGGATGTTGCTTGTATTATTGCTAATATTTAGAACCCTTGGGAAATAACTACTTCTCCAAGTTATCTTCTAGATGTAGCTAGTATTTGGATTTTGAGTCTGTTGCAAGATATCACCTATTTAATTTGTTGGAGATGAAAAGTTACTTCCTCTTTGACCCAGCCCTTGGTTCTTTGGCACTGTGCCACCTTTTTTTCTGTGCTCCTTATTCAATATCAATCTTGGAATACCAGGAAGAACAGCTTTTTAGAATAACTGTCACAACGAAGCCTAGAAAATGACAAACTGGGTTAACCATTAATTTTCCACCTTTAATTGTATGAACTAGGTTTATGATTATATAACAAAATCTAAAACAAACAAGAAAAACATATGCAGTATACAAGTCTTAATATGTCAATTTTGGTCTCAGTTTAAAATTTAAAATGGGTTATGAGAAAATAGAGAAGTGGAAGAAGAGGATGAGATTTAAAGTAAGGCTAGATGATAGGGAGGGATCTCACTAACTTTGGGAAATGAATGTAAAAGATTGGAGGCAAAGAGTGAAGGAAGAGATAAGAAGATGACCAGAACTGAATCACAACCATAATCACAAAGAGCCTACAAACCATGTTTGTATTCACATAAAAACAAGATCAAACAATGAAGAGGAAACAAACAAACAAAAACAAAACTACCACCACAACAACAAAAATGCAAAAAAGAGAAAAACGTCTCCTTTCTGATATTTCTCTGTTGTCCCTGGTAGACAATATGTGGGGGCACAGCCTCATTTCATGTTTATTTAACTTAGCAACTACCAGTAGCTTTTTTGTGAGGTAGTGGGTAATCTCAATGAGCCTGCACTTTCTGGCCTACACTAGACTGATTTGGCTTGCAGCCATCAGTGCACCTTCTGAGGGTCTGAGCCATGCTGGAGCTGCTCTGTGGAGCCAGAAGCAGCTCTGAGTTCTGAACTTAGTCAGTCTTTCTCCAAAATGACTCTCAGCTAATCTCTGTCTCACATAGAATAACCAAGTCCTCAGTACTCACTACCAGATAGTGCAGTTCTTCACATCCACTGCTCGTCTCCACTGCTGCATCTTTGTATGGAGGCCTCTGGGGCTGCCAGCCATCACCATGTGTCCAGAGTGCTCTTCTTGTGCATTGAGCCCCATCTCAGGGAGACAGCACCCCTGGCTACATCCTTCTTCATTGAAGTTTTTCTCTTCACTCTCTCAGTGGGCTTCAATTCACACTTCAGACTCTTTCTGAGTCCAGAAGACCTACTTTCCTCCTTTTTGGATTCCTCACATTGTTATAGGCCAGCATCTGGATGGAAACTCTCAGAGAGGTACTTTCTCTGCGGCTTACTACTCTGCCATCTTCTCTTATACTGAAAGATAGCTTTTCAGGGTACAACAATCTGGGTTGGAAGTTGTTAACTTCTTCACTCCATGCTCTTTTCTTTTCTTTCTTTTTTTTGTCTTTTTCCTTTTTATCGGTACCAGGGATCGAACTCCTGCCTGCTTGCAAGACAGGCGCTTATGCTGCTGAGCTAAATCCCCAGGCCCTCCATGCTTTTTTCAATTTGAGAATTTGTGTTGAGAAGTCTTCAATGATTCTGATGGGCTTTCCTTTACAGGTGATCTGTTTATTTTCTCAAACAGGTTTTAATGTTCTGTTCTTGTGCTGAATTTCTGGAATCTTGATTATTATATTTTGGTGTAGTTTTATTCTGGTCATGGATGTTTAGAATTTTACATGCTTCATTTATTTGTATGTCAAATTCTTTATCCATGCTTGGGAAGGTTTTTACTGTTATTTTTATGAAGAGTTTTTTTAAATAGCATTTATTTTGTCTCCAGCTTTCTCATTGACCACAGTCCATTTTATGTCATTCTAGTTTGCTTCATCGAGTAGCTGTTTGATTGGTTTTCATTGTCTCTTTCTATTATTAAAGTATATATTTTTTATGATCACTAGCGGCAATTCTGTTTTTAATCAGAGTAGTAAACTCTAAAGTTATATAGCAAAATCAAGCACATACTATGTACTTTTAAGCATTGATTTTTCTACTAGTGAAGTGATTTTACACTTCTGAGGGGGTGGAGGTTATGATGGGTCAAGCATATGAGAAAGTGATGAGTGAGGACAAATAATAGACTCAAGAATGGAGGTCAAAAGTTGATCACCCAGAGGATTCTGGATGGAAAGAATGAAATAGAATGTGAAGGAATAATCAGAGATGAAAGAGACAATGTTTATTCCCTTGAAAGTTTAAATTCAAGAAGTAGTTGAGAGGAGAAAGAGGATCAATTGAAGAAAATGAAAAAGGTAAGAAATCTGAACAGTAAAAAAGAGAAGGAAGAAAAAGCAACAGAAAAAAGGAGACCAGAGAAAGAGGAGAGCAAAAAAAAATCTATCCTCAAAACACACAAGCAAACAAAAATTATATATATGTATATAGATAGATGATAGATAGATATATAGATAGATAGATAGATAGAAAGGTAAATATGTTTTGGGAATTATGATTTATCCATAATCATCAGAAGTTAGTGGACTCTGCAGAAAGGAGATGTTTTGGATAGTTCCAGGAATAAATTGTCTGTTCTCTCTATATTCTTATATTTGTAGTCCATAGGAAATCTTCCAGGTCACCTATTTGCTGGAACATGCTGCCTTATTTTTGGTGTATGGTGGAGTACCAAAAGTATTCTGAAGCATCTCTGCAAAAAGCAAAAGAAGATTTACTACTTTGATTCCAAAACTTTTCATCGATCAGAAGTGTTGGGAGGAATTGTAATAGCCAGCTTTGGCTTCATTGGTGAGTGGACCATTTCCATATTTTGTTGTTTATTTTTGAGATTTCTACATGTAGATAGAAGATATAATAAAAACAAAGAAACTGATAAAAAGAAATTATATTAAATTGTTAAATAAATATAGCAATTAAAGTTTCTATCTAAAATAATTTGTTAGGAAAGTGAAAATTCATACTTATTCAAAGAAATATCATTAGGGATTTAGTCTTTTATTGATGTTTTATCTATTTATATTTTTAATTTTTTAAAACAAAAAAGAATAGAAATGAATAATATACAGAATTTCAAAACAAAATAATAGGAGATTCATATTGGTTAATATACGGTGTATTGTTATAGTCAAACTAGTTGCTCAGATTACAAAACATAGGCATGAAAAAATGATCAAACAAACAGTGAAAGCATAAGCTCTTCTTTTTGATGAACTAACAGAGATTAGTAGTATAGATATTTATCTTGTATATATGTATACATATATATGAATATATATATATACACACACAGAAATAATATTTTCCCTTCTTTTATTTCTCTTTTCTACTACTCCAGTTGTTCTTTACTTTTTGAATAGTTTCTTTCTTTGTCACTTTCACATTCTCTATTGTACTTTTGGATCTTACTCCTTCAGGTTTTTTGCACTAGTGAGCCAATATAATATTTACACATGCAATTGTGACTTATTTCACTTTAAGTACGATCTCAAGTCCCATGTACCTATAAAAACTTCAGGTTTACCCTTCTTTATATTTGAATAATACTCCATTGTATAAAAATATCACATCTTTTTATCCATTTCATAGTTGATGGACATTTGGGTTGTTTCCAAGTTTTAGCTATTACAAATTGTGCTACTATAAACATGGGTGCATATAATTACTAATGCATGATGTTTTCAATACTTCTGGGAAAATACCCAGGAGTGGAATAGCTGGATTGAATGGGGCATCTCTACCCTGATTTCCCCATGGTTGTACCTATCTCTATCTCCATCAACAATGGAGAAAAGTTACTTTTTCCCCACAGCCCCTCCAGCATTTGTTACTCTTTGATCCCTTAATAGCCATTCTTTCTGGAGTGACATTGAATCTCATGTTTTAATTTGCATTTATCAAATGACTGTTGGTTACTGCAAATCTGTGCCCAGCAACATGAAGTCACTTGGGAACAGTAGCTGAGAACTCCTAGGACTGGGAGTCTGCACACAATGAAATATATATAACTGGAAACCATCTCTGAGGTCTGCAGGTGCTGGAAACCTGTGCCCACCAAGCTACAGTCATCCGGGAGCCCTCAGTGAAGCTTTCAGAGACCAGTTGTCTGTGCTCAGTGATCTGGAACCAACAGCAAAGCACAGTGAGCCTGCTACCTGACAGCATGCCAGAATGGAAAGCAATTAGGACTTGGTATCTGGCTGAATTGGAAGAACAGAGGAAAACACCAAAAAGAAAGAATAAAATACAATCTCAAATTTCTAGCCCATTCAGATGAAGTCCAGAAGACATAGACATGGATAAATTTGGAAATAAATCTCTGAAATCTCTGAAATGATAGCAAGGGAAGTAAAGAAACAATGCCAAGAAGATGTAAAGAAATCAGATCAGAAATAATTGCTCAGGTAAAAACAGAAATGATAAGCATAATGAAAGAATTGGTGAATACGGACAAAGAAGACATAGATTTAAATAAAGGAGCTAAGAAAATGGTGGAAATCTTGAAGGAACAATACAGGATACATAGAATATATAAAACAGATTTGAGGTGATATCCAGGGTGTCAAAAATTCCATTGAAAGCTGGAAAAACTACCTGAATGAAATTGAAGACAAATTATCAGACTACAAAGATATAATTGTGACTAGAGATCATGTAATTAAACAGCCTTTAAAAATAAGGAATCAGAAAATAACAATTCACCATCTGCAAGAGGATGCAAAGATAATAATATAGGCAGATATGTGTCAATGAGAAAGGAGACAACAGAAATAACATAAAAATATTTACAGAATATTTAATAGCAGAAAATTTCCTAAACATGAGAAAAGAACCTGATATACAAATAAGTGAGGCATATAGAACTCCAATTAACCATAACCAAAATAAATCTACACATCAACATATAATAATCAAGATTCCAGAAATTCAGCATGAGAACAGAATATTAAAAGACATCACAGAAAAGAAACAGATGACCTATAAGGGAAAGCCTATCAGAACCATGGCAGACTTCTCCACACAAACCATCGAGTCAAGAAGAGCACAGAATGAAACATTTCATGTACTGAAAGAAAACACCTTGCATCCCACATTGATGTACCCTGCAAAACTATTTTTCAAAATCAACAGAGAAATAAGATACTTCCATGACAAAGAACAGCTGAAGAACTTCATGACAACACAACCAGTTCCACAAAGAGTACTGAAAGGTGTTCTAGAAAGAGATAGAAATCATCACAATTCCTAGGACAATACAAAAAACATGCAGCCGACAAGCAGGACAAGAAACAAAACAGAGGGGGGAAATAGGGAAACACAGCAGGAAGAAAACATGGCAGAGATAAGCCATACATATCAGTTATACCTACTAATGTAGGCGGTTTTAATTCACTAATAAAATGAAACAGACTGGCAGAGTGGATTAAGAAATAAAATTCAGTGATATGCTGTATACAAGAAACACATTTAACTTGACAGAAAATTCAAAGACTGAAAATCAAAGGATGGAAAACAGTACTCTTTGAACAGGAACCCAGAAAAAAGCAGAGGTAGCAATTCTATTTTAAGACAATGTAAATTTCAAACCAAGAGTGATCAAAAGATGTAAAGAAGGTCACTACATACTTGTTAGGGGAAAACTTCAAGAGGAAGAGATAACAATCATAAATATATATGCACTAACTACGGGAGCACCCAGCTATGTAACACAATAATAATAGACATGAAAAGTCAAATGAGCAATAATAGAATCACAACAGGGACCTTAACACATCATTGTCACAAAGAGAGAGGTCAACCAGGAAAAAATCAACAAAGAAGTAATAGAACTGAATCAAAATTATGAACAAGTGGACTTAGTAGATACATACAGAATATTCCACTCAACAGTATCAGAGTGTACATTCTCAGCTGCACATAGATCATACTCTAAAATAGACCATATACTAGCCCACAAAATCTGCTTATGTAAATGCAAAGGAATCAAAATAATCCTATGCATATTATCTGACCATAGTGCAATGAACTTGAACATTAATGACAAAAAATCCCCACAAGAACCTAATAAGCACATAGAAATTAAATAAACAACCAATTGGTCACAGACAGAAATAAAGAAGAAATTAACCAATATTCACAAACTAACAAAAATGTAAATACAACTTACCAGAACTTGTGGCATGCAAGGAAAGCTGTCCTCGAGGTAAATTTATTGTGGTGAGTTCTCATATCAGTAAAATGGAATGAATACAAATAAACAACCTGATGCTACACCTCAAATATAAAGAAAAAGAAGAACATTAAGACCAAACCCCCAAAAGGAAGGAAAGTATAAAATTCAGAACAGAAATTCATGTAATCGAAGCTAAGAAAACAGTACAAAGAATTAATGAATTTATGAGTTGGTTCTTTGAGTGAATGTATAAGATTGATAAACTCCTAGCCACTCTTACCAAAGAGAGGAAAGAAAAAATTCAAATCCATGCAATTAAGAAATGAAAAGCATGAAATCACTACAGATCTTGTCTAAATACTTGTTTCTAAGAATGAATCAGGGAGATTTGTTTCCCTTTCAATTTCACTGGAGTTTGAGAATTCTTGGCATTTTTCCCCCTAAATTTCTTGTATAATTCAGTAGTGAATCCATCAGAACCTGGGCTTTTCTTTGGTAAGGTTCTAATTATATTTTCATTGTCACTAATTGAAATTGGGTTATTCAGATGTTTTATGTTTTCTTGATCTAACTTTAGTAATTCCTGTTTCAAGGAATCTGTCCATTTCTTCTGTGTTATTGAACCTATGAGTGTAAATGTTTTCAAAGTAGATATTGATGATCTTGTGTATTTCCATAGGGCCTATAGTAATTTCACCATTTTCATTCCTTATTGCATGAATTTGATTTTTTTCTTTCCTTTTTTGGATAAGATTGGCTACGATTTTCTCTATCTTATTCTTTTAAAGAGCCAACTCTTTGACTCATTAATTCTTTTTATTGTTTTCTTAGTTTCAATTGCATTGATTTCTGCTCTGATCTTTAAGTTTCCTGCCTTTGCTGAGCTTTGGGCTTTATTTGCTCTAAGTTTTCTAGAATTTTTAGGTGCAGCAGTTTATTCCTGTTTGTTTTAATTTCTGGATGCAAGAGTTTACCGCGATAAATTTCCCTCTGAGAATGCTTGCATTGTGTCACACAGGTTCCAGTCAGTTTATGTACCTTTTTTGTTTGATTATAGATATTGTTTAATTTTATTGTGACATTGGTTTAGACCAGCGTTGTTTAATTTTCATGTGTTTTTTTTTTTTTTTTGTCTTTTTCATTTTTATCGGTACCAGGGATTGAACTCATGACTGCCTGCTGGCAAGGCAGGTGCTTATGCCGCTGAGCTAACTCCCCAGCCCCTAATTTCCATGTGTTTTACAGGGTTCTTGTGAAATTTTTTGTCATTCATTTTCAATTTAATTGTGCTATGGTCAGATAATATGTGTGGGATAATTTCTATTCTTTTGCACTTACTTAAGCATAGTCTGAGGGCTATTGTATGGTCTTTTTAGAGAATTACCTATGTGCAGCAGAGAATAATGTGTATTCTGATATTGTGGGGTGGAACACTTGGTACATGTCTTCTGGGTAATTTGTTCAAAGTTTGATTCAGTTCTATTTCTTTTGCTGATTTTTTGATTGGTTATCTATCTCTTTGTGACAATGGGGTGTTTTTAAACTGTATTACTGCTTATTTCATTTTTCATGTGAATTAAGATTTTTAAAAATTTTTTATTTCAAAGAGAATGGAACA